TAAGTCCCCGTGCTCTGATACCAATTGAAAAACGCTCGTGGATCTTGAATACAAGATATAACCTAAAGGTTCCTACTAAATTTTAATTCAATTATTAAGTTGGACTAGTTTCAGGATCTACTTCAGCCATAATAAAGAAATTAAATATAAAAGCAATAAATGGAACCGTGCACCAGGAAATGTTCACGCAGTTCGGAGCCTCACTCTTACGTGTGCGGGGCCACTCACGTCAGCCCAATTCACTAGATGATCAACTAGGAGTACAAGAGGGAGTACATTACACACTAAAGCATAAACTACACTACTCCAGCGCAGTGCACTACTCCGATCCAGCGACTACTCCAGCATCACCATGGACTGGACGTGCAGGCTATCTTCATCACAACTTGAACTAGTTGAGAAACCTTCAACACACGAATATATTGATAGAAAAACCAGTGGAGGATTTGAGGAATGATATGTATAATTTTAATCCTTGAATCTTCAACATTAATGCTTAACAAAGTAGCATTTTATAGTGATGATATGAAACCTCTTTGGTCTGAAAAAATGCAGCCTTCAATTCCTCAAATTAAGCTGCATCTCCTGATTTAAAAAGCCATGGAAGTAGGGTCTTGACCAAAATAAATGTTGAATGAGTTTCACTTCTTCTGGATTACTTCCTGGAGCTGATCCTGGACTGCATCCTAGCGCTGACACTGGACTGGAGTAGGTGCTGATCCAGACTCAACCTGACACAGACACTGGACCATTTTGACAACTAATTTAAGCCAACTTAAGTGGGTTTTAAATGTGTAAATAAATAAATAAATAAATAAATATATATATATATATATTATTGAGATTATGAAGCTTTGGCAGTATTGCAATGACCACGCACACACGTAGGAACAAAGCATCACCATAATTTTCTATTACTATGATATTATGATAATTCAATACCTAATCTCTATTTTTCCTAATTTCTTTTCGTATTACTTAATCTCTATTTCCCTAATCTATTTTCATTGAGTCTTTTCTCCATATTCTTCATCAGATATCTGGTAATTATTAATTTAAACTTATTAACTTAATTGTACATATTATTTGATTTTTTTCACAATAATTATTTATTGACATGGGTTATTGACTTAATACTTTTAAATATTAAATATTATATTCATGAGTTTGTTTCTTAATAAATTTCTTAAATTATTTATTGATAGAGATTCTAAACAATTTTTTTTCTTAGGATTTTATAGCAATGTTTTCTAGAAAATATTCATCTGGGTCTGAGAAGCGTAAAAGAAAATATGAATTGAACAACTAACTCAATCTCAAAAGAGACCTTTTGAAAAATTCATTACAAAAGAATATCAAATAGATGAGCAAAGGAATGATGCCAATGAAATTTTGTTACATGCTAATCTTCACAAAGAAGATCAAGGCGATTGTGAGACTGAGAAAAAATTTAAATGATAGTGTGCACAACAATGATAATATCACTGTGATGATGAAAATGATAAGAATGTTAATAGTTGTTTAGATGATGGTGGTCACAACGATAATTCAAATGATTCGTTTTTATTTGACATATATGATCCAAGAAATGTTCTTGAATTTGGTTATGCATGCGACACAACTCATCCATCAAACTTATAATCTGAGCTTGCATTTGAACTTCCATTTAATTTCTTAAACAAATTGGTTTATGGAAATGAGTTCAAGACAACTTTTCAAAATCTCAGAAGTCAATTCAAACGAAGTAAAAATGTAGGTAAGTGCATATTATATTCTATGTAGAACACTTCTCCACTTGCCAACCCAGCAGTTTAATCCATCTCAAGCTAAGCCTTATAAAAACAACAACAACAACAACGTAATTGTGACTATTTTCTAAGTTAGTGGTTAAATTTAGGGCATGTTTGGTTCATGGAAAATGTTTTCCTTGAATTTGAGAAAAACTAGATTTTTCTTTGTTTGGTTCATTGAAAACATTTTCCATTGAAAAACATTTTCTCAAAAATGAGGAAAACATTTTCCATGGTCCCCCTTGGTATTTTGTTTTCCATGAAAAACAAGTAGGACAATTATGCCATCACTAACTTTTTTTAATTACCATTATTATTACTGTTGTTATTATTGTGTAGGGGTATAATTATTTTTATACTCATTATTTCTTACAATTCCAATCTCAACCAAATAATGGAATCGATATTCCCAGTAATTTATTTTCCACCAACCAAACAATGTAATTAATCTTCCCGGTAATTTATATTCCATGAAATTTTAATTCTATTTTCCTTTTTCAAATATTTTTCGCGAACCAAACGGGCCCTAAGAGTTTTTAAAATTATTAGATATCGTATATATAAATGTATTATAATACATTGATCGCGCACTATTACAGTCTAAAATGTCTGAGAACTGAGAATTAGGGGAATAAAATCGCAAATTATGTTGTGCAACCGTGTGCACCATGTATGGTATGGTGCACACGTTTGCAAAAACGACGTCGTTTTGACTAAAAACGTGCGTCCCACTTTAAAAAAATAAATAAAAAAATTCAGGTTTGATTCCCGGCAATAACATTTTTTTGGGCATAATTTGAATTATATATCCACAAATTCATAACTATATATCCACAGTGAATGAATAACACAAAATCCAGAATGAATGAACTAAATATCCTAAATGAATGAACTAAAAATCTACAATGAATGAACAACATAATGCTATTGAGGGGAATCAAAACTGATAACTATTAGAATAAAATAATTGTTCGAAAACAATCATCACAATTGAAGAGGATTGAAAGTGCCGAGTGCTAATCACTACACCATAGAACCACTATGACTTAGTATCAATTATTTGTTTTATTAATTAAAACTAGTTTTTTTACGCGCATTGCGCGATTGAGATAATGTCCAATGTTTTTTTTTTTTTAAATAAGTACTATAAAATATATCAATGCAAGATTATATTGGAATTGTTCATGCATAGATAATGGAATGTTGAATTTGTGTATTTAAATAGGTAATTCTAAGTTTACAAATGCAAGATAATATAGTCAAGATTGATTATAATTGTCAATAAAATAATTGTATGGGTATGATTGAAACCAAATACGGGAAATAAGGGAGAGCAAATAAAAATTAGGGCATAAAATATTAAATATATACTAATATTGAAGAGCTAACTGCTGATTGCCAAACAAGGACATTGCGAGATAGTTTTCCACTTCAATTTATTGTGTGATTTGAATACTCTTTTTGTCAAAAAAATCCCCCAAGTAGTTAATATGATTGACTTAATTATACTTTTTTTTTTAACAATTATTATTATTATTATTATTATTATTATTATTATTATTATTATTATTATTATTATTATTATTATTATTATTATTATTATTATTATTATTAAATCTATGTATACCCTCAGGTCATTTTACATGTTAATCTAAACGACTAATTTTTTCAAATATCTTTTTACCAACCGTTGATATAATTCGCTGGTCAAATCCACTAACGCTAACCGCTAACTACTGATTATCAAACAAGGACATTGTGATGTAGTTCCCACTTCAATTTGTTGTGTGATTTGAATACTCTCTTTGTCAACAAATCGCTCAAATAGTTAATATGACTGGCTTTGTTAATTATGTTTTTTTAATTTTTAATTTTTTCATGGTATAAATAAAATACTTGGTAAATAAATATATAGCATTATTTTGTAATATAACTTTGATATTTAATTTAAAAATAGTGCACAAAAGAGATAATAGAAAATGTAGTGAATATAATTAATTGATTAATTTGAATGTAAAGAATTTTTACATTGGAGAAAAATAAAGACAATATAACTAATGCAATTATTTCTCTTATTTAATTTATTGATAATGAATATTTTTTTTTTTGAATAAAGGCATTGTACACACATAATTCTAAATTAAAGAAATGCATATGTATTATTTTTTGTTGTAGCTACTAAATTATTAATTAATTTAATAAGAGTAAAATAGAGTACTAATTATGCCAACTTTAATTTGATTGGGATGAGGTTCGAACCTGAGACCTTTCTTACTAAAATCAATGAGTAAGTTAATGGCGAATTGACAGAAACTAACGGAAAAGATAATATTTAACGGAAAAGTTAATGGATAATCATATCATTAAGGATAAATTAGGAAATTTTAAGAAAAATTAAAATATGATCAATCTGATTCATTAATTTGATTAAAAAATTTGACCGCCATTTTTTCTACCCATTATAGGCCTAACTCTCTTGGGCTCTTATTGGTATAGTAGATTTGAATTACATATTTAAGCTGTGAGGAAATGTTCTTGAGTTTGGTTATGCATCACTAATCTTCATCTGCTCCTTGAACACATGATTCTAGGGACTGATACTGTGACTGATTAATTACATCAATTGACTGAAAACTTTAATTTATGAGGCGAACTTGTATAATCCATGAAGTTCATGTATTGTTTTTTTTTGTTTTTTTTTTTTTGTTTTTTTGTTTTTTTTTTTTGTTTTTTTTTGTTTTTTTTGTTTTTTGTTTTGTTTTGTTTTGTTTTGTTTTTTTTTTTTTTTTTTTTTTTTTTTTGGTCTTAATCAAGACCCATCTTGAGAATGATTCTTGCTAGATTTTTGATAGGTCTCAGTGAAGAGTATATTAAAGTGAGATTACAACTTATTATGATGGATCCTATCAATCAATGAATAAGGTCTATGGTAAAATTGCTCAGCACGGAAGACAGAATACAGCCACAAGGCCCACAATGCAAATAACCAGCTGTTAGTTGATGGAAACATGCATCCTAGAAGAATCTTCAACATTTGCTTTATTCAACAATACATGGGTTGCAGATGATTAATGATTTGGCTAAGGAGGTCAATGGATTGTTTTACTTAGAAACACATATTATGAAGAATGTGTGCTACTATCAGAAAATGAGTCATTTTCCCAATAGCACATATGTTTCTACTTCTTGCTTTGAGTTCTTACATATGGATATTGTGGATTTTTTTTTTCTATTGATATTATCAGTAAACTCCAGAGACTACAGAGAAACATTGTCTAAACTAAGGGAGAAAAGCAATTTGCAGGAAAAAGAAGTTGCAAAGAACTCTCAAACTAATTAACTGTAAAAGGGAAAGCAACAAAATCTTCAAAACATCAAAACTAACCAACATCACAAACGAAATAAAATAAAATAAAATTCTCAATCAATCACAATAGGAATGATTGAATCCCCATACTCTGCTCCATGCTTGATCTCAGTCTCTGATCTGCTGATTGGATTGTTGAAGTTGCAAACACCACTGCTAGCTTGCTTGATACAGCCTGCTCTAACTGTCTTAGATCCACATGGTAGTATGACATCGACCAATATTGAATAAGGCATGAAACAAAAACATTACACTTGTTGAGCATATATAATATATAAACATAAATGTGCAATCTAACTATTAGTTTACACTTTTAGTTGAGATGGAGCACTTGAAAATTTTCAATGCAGTAATTAAAGGATCGTCATAAATGAATTACCTCACCGAGGAATGGTCCTAATGTCTCCAAGTTCCACAAGGGTGTCTTTGATTGAAAGCAACTCCTTGACCGCATTGCCAATGCTCATTCTGTCCCTAGGTAACTCCACGGAACAGGCTATTCCAATCTTAAGAATCAATACAAGGCATTCGATTATCTGGTTATGAAGTACAAGACTTTGAGGTGTTGCATTAGCTTCTATCTGGAATAGCTTTGGATCCACAATCTCAGCGACTTGCTCAGGCATGCTCATTCTAACATAGTTATGAAGAGTTAAGCCATTATTGAAGATATCACTAGTAGGACTTTTACTAGTAAACATTTCTAGCAAAAGGATCCCATAGCTATACATATCACCAAATGTTGACAAATCACTTCCCATCCCATACTCTGAAAAAATTCAAATTCAAGCATTAGTATTCTTTCACAAAAAAATATATACTTTTTAAAGTTTTTATGTTTAGTTAGAAGTGATTCTCTCTTAAAAGTTTCATGGAGAATAGTCTACCTGGAGCTGCATATCCAAAAGTCCCTTTAATTCCTATAGATGAACTCACTTGGTTTGATGAAGATGCAAGTGCAACTTCTGTCGGAAGAAATTTTGCTATTCCAAAATCAGCCACGTGAGCAATTAAGTCTCCATCCAACAAAATATTGCTTGGCTTCAAATCACAATGCACTAAACCTGTCTCCAATTGATTATGAAGATAATCAAGTGCATTTGCCACATCAATGGCAATATTTACCCTCTGTAACAAGTTCAAACTCTTTGAATCATTATTCTCTCCTGTGTCGTCTTTTGAGTGATTGTGCAACCAATTGTCCAGACTACCATTGATCATATACTCATAGACAATGGCCAAGAAGTCATTACCCTCATGGTCGATGCTACAACAAGTGGTCAAAACTTTTACCAAGTTTCGGTGCCTAATTTGCCTCAATGCTTCACATTCCACCAAAAAGCTCTTGGATGCTCCTCTTACTTGAAGCTTGAACACTTTAATTGCAACAATTCCCAAACTACCATCAAGAATGCCTTTGTAAACAGTGCTGAATTTTCCAAAACCAATTATGCTGGATTTAGAAAATTCATTTGTTGCCTTCTGGATACTCCAATATGACAACTTAGGTATGAGCTCTGTTGTTGCATCCTGCGTTAAAGGCTGCTTGTTCTTCTGCTTGTAAATGAACATAATGAAAATTGCCAACTTTTGAATATGGGACAGATGTTGTCTTTCTCCTTCTCTTGGGCATGCTGTCAACCCAAATTGTGGAATACCTCCACAAAGGTTGTTACCAACAAGCTCAACTTCAGTCTTGTTTTTAAAAATCCCTTCAGTAGGTATCTCACCTTCCAAATGGTTAAATGATAAATTCAACCGCTTCAAGTACTTGAGTTTACCTAGAAATTCTGGTATTTTTCCTGTGAGGTTATTACAAGATAGATCTAAAATTTCAAGGTTTTTTAAAGAACTGAAAGAAGGAGGGAAAAGTCCATGGAAAAGATTGTGATTGATGTTGAGTTCAATCAAGCTACTCAGTGCACCAATGGTACTTGGAAGTGTGCCTAAGAACATGTTGTTTGAGAGGTTTAGTGACACCAAATTTTTGAACCCACCAATCTCTACAGGAAGAGGACCTGTAAAGTGATTGTGAGAGAGGTCTAATTTCACAAGTGATGTGAAGATAACTTTGGGAAAATTTCCTTGGAGTTTGTTGTTAGAAAGATCTAATTCTAACAAATACCTAAAATTTTCAAAACTTATCGGTATAGTACCTTGAAACTCATTGAATGGTAGGTAAAGCTCACTAAGAATGGACAGATTTCCCAAAGAAATTGGAATCTCACCAAACAATTTGTTTCCTCCAAGGTGTAAACCAATGAGTTGTTGAAGGCTTCCTCCCCATGAGCTTGGAATAGTACCGCCTAGCTGGTTTTCTGATAAGTACAGGTATTCTAAGTTTTCAAGAAGATGAATTTCACTTGGAAGATATCCGCCTATGACATTTTCTTTTATTTGAAAATGTACAAGCTGTGGAAAGTTTGCTATGAATCTGGGCAAAACCCCTCCAAAATTGCAATTATTAAGATACAGGCCCAGTAGTGTAGCAGTACTATTGAGAAGAGATGACATGAAATCCAAATCAGTGGATTTTCCATTACCAAGCGGATTGTCAATAAGTGAAAGATGTATTAGTCTTTTAAGTCCACTAAATGACGGTACTCCTCCATAAAAATCATTATGACTAACATCAAAATACCGTAGTCCTGTGGCATTTGACATTGAGATAGGAAGTAGCCCTCTTAAAAGATTATTACTAGCCCAAAATTTATCTATCTTTGGAATGGTAGTGCCTAAATTTGAAGGAAGATATCCCTCAAGTTTATTTTCTCGTACATCAAAATTTACCAATGATGACAGATTGAAAATGGATACAGGAATGGTAGAACTCAGGTAGTTACTGCCTAGACCAATAAAAAAAACATTCTGCAGGCATCCAATTGAAGTAGGAATTTTTCCTTTGAAATTATTTTCAGAAAAAACAAGTGCCTTGAGTGATGAAAAATTGCCTATGTAAGCTGGTATCTCTCCCATCAAGTGGTTTGTGTGAACCGAAAGGTACTCAAGTTTGGACAGTGATCGAAACTCCAAAGGAAATGTACCCGTTAGATTATTTTTTGCCCAAAAAATATCTGTTAGACTAACACAATGTGAAAGGTTTTTTGGAATTTCACCTGAAAATACATTTCTTTCTAGAACCAACTCACTTAATCTTCTAAGTCTACCCAACTCTTTAGGAATTTTTCCCTTGAAATTATTTTCAGCAAAAGAAAGTACCTTGAGTGATGAAAAATTGCCTATGTAAGCAGGTATCTCTCCCATCAAGTGGTTCATATGAACCGTAAGGTTCACTAGTTTGGACAGGGATCGAAACTCCAAAGGAAATGTACCCGTTAGATTATTGCCTCCCAAATAAATTTCTGTTAGACTAACACAATGTGAAAGATTTTTTGGAATTTCACCTGAAAATACATTTCTTTCCAGAACCAACACACTTAATCTTCTAAGTCTACCCAAGTCATTAGGAATTATACCTGATAAAGTGTTGTTGTCAAGCGACAATTCTCTAAGAAAACTCAAGTTCCCAACTGCAGGGGACAAAGAGCCTTGAAGGTTGCTCGAGTGCAAATCGATTGTTACAACTCGTTGGTGTTTGCGACCACAAGTTATTCCAACCCAATTACAGAAATGGGTAGACTCATTCCATGATTGAAAAGGACCTCCGATCATGTTGGCCTTCAATGAAAGTAATGCTTGGTGATCAGAAACATTTCCGGGCAGGGAGAAGGAAGTTTTGCAGAGGAAGGCAAATATGGCATAAAAACAAAATAGGGAGGAGCTCATTTTGTGGAGAAGATACAAACTTTATTTATTAAATTGAGTGCACTTGGACTGGGTGGAAACTGGAAAGATGAGAGTATATATAGAGCTCAAGAATACAAAATGTAAAGTGAATACATAAATGTACAAAAATACACATTTTGAGTTGTATTGCATCATAATATTGTTGGGAGTTTTTTTCCTTGTCCAAAATAAATATTTTTCTTTTAACTTTATATTTGTTTTATTATCCAAACAAGGAAAAATCTGAAAAATGATTTCTACAAGTTATTTTTTATGTTTCGAAACAAGCCCTTAGTCTTGTTTTCAATGGTTATATGTTGTTTGAATCTCATTGAGAACCTAAGGTGTTATTGAAAACTTTGACAAATTAGTGGTGGTTGATATATTATGGCAAAATTGAAAATGGTGGGTTATTAAAATAAAAAATCTTATTAAATACTGAATCCATTAACTTATTAAAAGGCAGCTTTAAATCCGTGGGGTACTATGTTGGAAAAACTGGAGCACACTTATTACAATTTACAATCATTATTGTATGGACCATATTCTGTCTACTGTAAAATAACGTACATTTAGTACAAAAATAATGTACATTTAATATATTAAAAATTTCAATTATATTCTACAATGCTTATATATATCTTTTTTTTTTTAATGCTTATATATGTCTCTTTGAAACAATGAAAAAAAAATAGTTACAAATATTTTGATTACATTCTAATAATAAAATTGATAACTACATTTTAATAGAGTCCCATATGGAATTGAAGGTTGTGAGTTCGAGCCTTAGTCGAGGCGTTATTGACTCTTTGTGCTTCAGTAGGTTGAGAAAATAGTTATGAACAGAAACTACATTGTAATAGAGCCAGTAACATTCAAAAAAATAAATAAAAATAAAATTGATAACTTCTAAAGCGTAATGTATTTATAAGATTTGATAACCAATTATAAATATGATAATAAATATCGTAAATAAAAAATATTTTATAAACAAATATTTTTATTAAGACATTTTTTAGTCAATGGACATCAAATTTGTCCATTAGGAGTTAGGACAAGCCGTGCTTGACATGCCAACAACGTATACAAGGGGTAAGAAATGGAATAAAACCAACACTATCTTAATCAATCAATTATTAATCCTTTTGAAAAAGTTGAAGTCTTCTAATTATTGATGATACTAGAATCCTCTCGTGTGATGCACGACATAAATATTTTAAATAACTTTATTATTGATGTAGGTGATGAATATATATATATATATATATATATATATATATATATATATATATATATATATATATATGCAAAACTAAAATTTAATTTATAAATAATTAATTCCAACCATAGCTTAGTAGGCATGAAACCAAAATTTATTTATATAAAATAAATAAATATGAACAATATTATTATCTCAGTCGGTATTTTTGGTTTAAATGTTAACACATAGAGAACTTGGTGATATTAGCTCATGTCGAAAGACGGAGTTTTGAAATAAAGAACTTGGAAAACTCAAGTATTATATCGACTTGAAGATCGAGCTTCTGCGTGAAGAAGCTTTATACACCAGTTAGCATACTTGAAATTGTCTTGAAGATATTTTATATGGATAAGTATCACTTACTTATCACACTAACGGTTGTCCAATAATCTCTTGGAGTAGATAAGGGATTATTAAAAAGACGAAAATGAGGATATTTTGGGACTGAAAGTCCATTACTTTGTTGCTATTGGAGCAATATTATAGAACTAGAAGTTCCATAGTCGCATCAGACCTGATATTGAATTTGCAATAAAATTGCTAACAATATTTAGTGCTTCCCCCTAAAATGAAATATTGGAATAATGTTTAACATATCATCCAGCATCTTCGAGGTGCAAAGATTCTAACGTTTATGTGAGAAATCAATATGAAGGGTTGAATATATATATATATATATATATATATATATATATATATATATATATATATATAATTTTCATATTAAGCTTATTTTTATTACACTTTAATAATAAAGTTGATAACTTCTAAAGCATAATGTATTTATAAGCATTGATAAACATCGTAAATAAAAAATATTTTATAAACAAATAATTTTTTTAGAGACTTTTTTTAGTCAATGGACATCAAATTTGTCCATTTGGACAAGCCGTGCTTGACATGCCAACAACGTACACGAGGGGTAAGAAATGGAATGAAAACAACACTATCTTAATCAATCAATTATATATATATATATATATATATATATATATATATATATATATATATATATATATATATATAGGGTAGGGTTCCAGTGAGAACACGTGTTTAGGTGAGAACGTGAGAACACATCATGTGGATCCATCTAATATTTTTTAATGGTCTAGATTAGATTAAGCGTGTGCGAACGTGCATTAAATGTGTGCAAACGCGATTTAGTGTGTTTGCACACATTTAATGTGCGTTCGCACACACTGAATCTAATCTAGACCATTAAAAAATATCAGATGGATGCACATGATGTGTTCTCACGTTCTCACCTAAACACATGTTCTCATATGATCCTAACTATATATATATATATATATATATATATATATATATATATATATATATATATATATATATATATAGAATAAGGCTCATATGCGGCAATGGCTTTAGGTGCGGCGATGCGGTCATATCAGCGTCGTCCATTCTGCTTAATCTAATGGCAGCGGCTAATTTATGAAGATTTAAAGATTTAAGCTCGTCCTAGTAAGTGGGGGGTGTTATTATAATTGTAGTGGTTATTTATATCAGTCGCTTGTCAGTATACACCAACAGTGTTAACAAAAGACACCAATAGTGTTAGGAAAAAGCACCACAATGAAATGCACAAATACACCAAAAAACACACAACACACCCAAAAAATACACCATATAACTCACCACCCCAATGGTGTATTCCGAACACTGTGTGATGCTTTTAGTCATACCTAGTGGTGCGTTCTGGTGATGCGTATCTAATTTGTGCATGTTTTTTTGGTGTGTATTTTCTAACATGGATGGTGTATATTTGTATAACTATTAGTGCAGTCGCACTAACCGCTCGGGAAGGCACCAACACGAATTCTCAAATACACCACAGTAAGGTTAATAATGCACCAATAACGAACATAAAACACACAACACTATGATTTGATATATTATGGTGCCCAATGACGACTTTAACCTTGCAGTTCGCGTAGTGTGAGAACGCGCGCGAAAATATCGGAAAAGCCTTGATGAATGTGATTCGTTGGATTTATCTAATCTAATGGCCTACAATTAACCACACCGCCGCACCTAAGTGCACTGCCGCACTTGAACCTTCCTCTCTCTCTCTATATATATATATATATATATATATATATATATATATATATATATATATATATCTCATAATGTATTTATAAGCATTGATAAACATCGTAAATAAAAAATATTTTATAAACAAATAATTTTTTTAAAGACTTTTTTGAGTCAATGGACATCAAATTTGTCCATTTGGACAAGCCGTGCTTGACATGCCAACAACGTATACGAGGGGTAAGAAATGGAATGAAAACAACATTGTCAGCATGTTTGGTTCACGGAATGAATTTTGAGGTAATAGGAATGTTATTCCATAAGGAATGGAATAGGCAAGGAATAGAATATGAATTGTATTCTATTGTTTGGTTCGCGGAAGGAATAGACTTTAGAATTATATTACAGTGTTTGGTTGATTTAAGGAATAGAAATGAAATATGTTTTAAAAGACATAAATACCCTTATAAAAATATGTGATGGTGGTGGTGGTGGCGGTGGTGGCGGTGGCGGTGGTGGTGGTGGCGCCGGGGTGGTAGTGGTGGTGGTGGCGATGGCAGTGGTGGGGGCAACGGTGGAGGTGACGGTTGACGGTGACGGTTGTGGCAGTGGTGGTGGGGCGGCGACGGTTGTGGCGGCGGTGGTGGTGGTGGTGGTGGCGGTGGTGCTGTTGGGTGGTGGTTCTGGTGGCGGTGGTGGTGGTGGCGGTGGTGGTGGTGGCGGTGGTGGCGGTGGTGGTGCTGGGGTGGTAGTGGTGGTGGTGGCGGTGGTAGTGGTGGGGGCGGCGGTGGTGGTAGGGGCGACGACGGTTGTGGCGATGGTGGTGGTGGTGGTGGTGGCGGCGGCGGTGATGGTGGTGGTGGCGACGGTGGTGGTGAAATAGGATAAATTTATATATATGATAAAAAAAATTAGGTTAAAGAAAGGGGTAAAAAAGAAAATAGATTTTAAAATCTATTCCTGAGCGTTCAGTAATAGGCTAATACCAGGGGGGCCTTAGTAATAGCTATTACCTTATTTGAGGTAATAGGCTATTACCAGGAATATTATTTCTGGAATAAAAATGGTTACCAAACAAAGAAATAGGCCTATTACTGGGAATGTTATGCCATTCCCGGCCTATTCCGTGAACCAAACGGGCCTTATCTTAATCAATCAATTATTAATACTTGTTGAAAAGTTGTAGTGATGATACTAGCATTCCTCTCGTGATGCACAGCGTAAATATTTTAAATAACTTTATTATTGAATCACAAATTCACAATTAACAATATAATTAATATTTTTTCCTGCATATTATATATATATATATATATATATATATATATATATATATATATATATAGGGACGGAGCCAGAAAACTTGAGTTGTGGGGCTGATGTACTAAAGAAAATTTACAATGTTAGTTGACATTATAATTAATCGCACCATATTATTATTATATACCATACATTATTGTATGTGATTATTATTGATAATGATTTCTAATTATACTATGTGTAATAAAGTATGAAATACATAATTATATGAGTACGATCGACATAGGTGTCAATCATTACTTTAGAAATTTTTCACATAACACAAAATATAATAACAACAATAAAAACAATATCTATTTAAATATAGATTGTCACTTAACATCAAATAAAAAGTTTTGTCAATTATTTTGTCACCAAATTTTTTCATAATTAACTTATATTCGTTTTACTGGTTAACTGGATATTTCAAAATTTAAGAGATAAAGACAAAAAACAAGACGAATTAAATAATCAAT